ATATATATATATATATATATATATATATATATTTGGTGCATTTTTTAATTACACAATAACTTTAGGTTTTCTTCTCTATTACTTTTACCCCCTCCCCCACTTTTTTACTTCTTCCCTTTCTCTCATTTACCAACAATAACAGAGTTTGAAATTCATGCTTGGCGGCAATATGGCTGTGAAAATGTTTAGCAGACAAATAATACTCGTATTATACAAGTGATCCTAATATCTCAATTTCCGTCGATAGTTATATTGTTGTGATTTGTTCATTTCGTATTTCTCTATATTTAAATTGTTTCGTAATCATTCAATGTTGCATGATATTTATAAATTATATCTGTCATTCAAATCATCTTATTAAATAGTTATGTCAAACACTTTGTTAAAAAAAGAAAATGACAACATGTCACCATTGATAGTGTTCTCTATGAACCAATGAATGGTTCAGATGTTGCAGCAGGGTGGCTGTAGAGAGATTTGGCTGCAGAGGATGTTAGTCATGTGAAGGAAGGTGATTGGTTGGTTGAAGCAACGGTGGTGAACTGAAGTGTGAAAGAAAGGAGGGACACGTGTAACAATCTGAAAGGGTGGGGTCCATGACCTAGGGATTCTGAAAAAGTAGAATTATTTGGAAAGACATGGAATAAGAAAAGGACGTGAGTAATGTTGTAACCGTATGTGGGACCCACCGCATCAACTTGCTGTTTTGTGTCATTTACCATTACCACCCATACATCTCAACTCAACCGTTCTTTTGGCGGCTACCTCCTGCTTCACCAAACCAAACTTTCCAATTTAAATGTTTTTTTTTAATATTTATAATTTACTAATTAATGAATCAATAATCCAAAGTTTTAATTAAAATATTTTTACGAATATACGTTTATTTTTAATATAAACTCCTATTTTTATTCAGTAACTGCCCTAAATCAATTGTTAGCATTTTTTTTGTGATCTTAATAAATAAAAGTTTTAAGAAAAGGGATCATTAAAGATGGTTGCTTTTATGAGAGGAAAATTTATTAGCAGCTTAGGCCATTCATAAAATACCATTGATACCAATATTAGTTGGGGTAAGTGGAAATAATTTGTGTTTCTTAATAAAGATATTTAGAATTTGAATATTGAGTTTGAATATGAAATAACTATATTAAGAAAAAATATTTACCTTATTTGTTATTATGAACTTAATAGGTACCAATATAATACGTTTCAAAATTGATGATAAAAATAAATTTATGGCTTAATATAATTCTATTGTATTAATATCTAGTACATAATAATATTATAAATCAACCTATATTTTTTTATATTATAAAAATACTAAGTAATATGTATTATCAATATAAATATTTTTTTTGTAATAATACGATCTAATTATAAATTATCATTTTTTTTTGTTTGTCCGTGGAGTATCCACTACCGATAGCAGTGACTAATCTCTTTGCTAGGTTGGAAGCACCTCAAAGGGTGAGATAACTGACCCCAAGATTTAACGCGGTTGCATACACAAGACAGAATTCGAACTCCTAACCTTGCTTAAGTGTGAATTAACCCCTACCGATGAACCACACGCTTAGGGTTATTATAAATTACCATATATTATAAACATATTAACTTTTATAATAATTATCTAAAAAATATATTGAGAATGAATTCCAATTAAAATATTTAATTTGGTTCAAAATCTAAACTGTGGTGATTAACAAGTTATGGCCGAGTGCCCCAGTCTAATCCCAGGCCCAGTTCATAAATAGCCAATTAAAATAAATAATCAAGTTTAGACTCTTTTTTTTTTGTACAGGTCAAGTTAGACTAATTGAATCTGTCCTAATTCGTATCACACCTTTATATATATATA